ACACAGTGATAGTCCTCTAGTCACACATCCATTGGCATGTCAATGTGAAGACACTGTAAAAGCACCCAAGAGGCTACAACACTATCTTCAGCACTGCCTCGGATAATAGCTTCACCCTGCCACAAACATTCTTGTACAGTGCAAACATTATGTTGAGCATGTTTTATAAGGAATCATTCTTAACAGTTTAAAAGAAACAGAAAAAAAATTCAGTTGAGTCCAAATGAAAATAATTGTTGTAAAAATGCTCAGCAGTCATTTCTAAATTCAGCGTCAATTTTTTCACCCACCTTTCAGTGAATGCCTTAAAGCACTCCCTCAGAGTCAATGGATCATTCCCAGCCAGCTCCCCTAGTGACCTGTCATCATAGGCACGGCTGGCAGATTCCATTACCTCGGTGGGTAGATTCTGGTAAACCACAGTCAGGTGGTCATCTGAATGGAGGGTGATGTCCACCTCTCGAACCAACTGGCAACCCCGACAGTGGATGCTATAGACACAGCGGGAACACTGGGTGCCCTACCAAGAGAGACATAAAGGGTAACCAAATCAGGGAAGGCTCTCAAGAATGAACACTCTTTAAAAACACCCCTTTGTGAAAACATGGTCCAAATCCTAGTGGAGCCATTCACTGTTGCCATGGAAACAGGCTGTTTGCATACTGATGAATATGCAAACATGCAAAAAGCAAACAGGAAACCAGACTAGGCTTAGACTCCAGCAAAATGGAAATTAACAAGTACTAAATGGAATAATTAATTTCTAGTCAGATCTCTGACTTACCCTTCCATCAGTAAGTACGATGGTGAATGCTGAGCGTACTGGCAACATGCTGTCAATTTCATTAAACAGACTTTCACCACTGACTTCGTTGTGGGTGTGGATTGCATTGGGATAAGCAAACAGCTCCCCCTATGTGGAGAAATGACCGAAAAGAAGTTGTAGGTCTGAGGTGAATCTAAGGCACGAGTGGACTGATCATGTAAACAGCAACCATTTTCAATTACAACTGAGAATCACATGCAGGAGAAAACAATCCAAAATGTTGGAAACAAAACTTGCAAGAGCTATTGAAAGATGAAAGCATGATAAGGTTATTGTCAGATATTTGGTTCAAATAACAGGCAACACTTCTTGTGTAAATAATAGCCTGATATTTGTTGTGAGAAGCAAAATGCTAACCCTTTAACAGATATTACTGGGCAATAGAATCCACAAGTTTGTCAGCTGTAAGCCAACCCGACAAGAAGTGACCATCCTCCCACAGTGACTACCCCCTCCCCTCCAGATGAAGCTGCAGGATCTAAGGTTACCTCCCTCTTCTCTCCTGACCTCACCTTTGTTTCTCCGTCCACCGTTGTGTCATTCCGAAAAAGGACAGGCAATAAGAGGACTCGTTTGGCTGGACGGGCTGTCAGTGACGTCTGCATGACTACATAGTCTTGTGACGGGTCAATCTCCTTTCTGCACACCTGATAAAGCAGTGGTAACATTGAAATCTATTCATTTGCATGATTTACAAAAGCAATAGAGAGCCACTTTCATGATAAAGAGGGAAAAATACAAATTTACTCAGCACTGGGAACCAATTACAAGCCACCATGTAATATACAGTATATCGTTTGTAGATGGTTCCTAGCACATTTTTAACCTGGTGAGTACTTTTAGCTAAATCAACTCTTTAGGATACTGTACTCTGGTTCTTTCAATAACTTTTTCCAAAAAAAATGAACATTTCATTTCATTGGCATGACAAATGTTTCACTCATGTAGAAACTATTTGTTTTCAGTGTATAACACATATATTGAAATAACCATAGAAATTATTCAAATATTCCAATCTTACCGGACAGTCGACTGCCTGCTGACCATAATGCTTAACCGCTCTCTGAAAAAAATCGAGAAAGTTGTTAGCACACTATTAATTCAGGTTAACTGACTAAGCCAAGTATAGGCATTTCTAGAAAGCTTAGAAACAACTTAGTACAAAGGCATCTATTATGAACAAACCAAAAGCAGCACGTAAATTAGAAAAACTGGTAACTTTTAATTAAAAATGTCTTTTTGTGAAAAAAAGAGATTAAAAAACTGTCCAATTCAAAGTTTGTTTCCACGGAAAGCAAAATTTGATGAATGCCCTTATTAAATAAACACCCGTATAACCAAGTTAACTTTTTCTCTTGCCAAATTCTAAGGAAACAGGATGTAATGGTTGATAACTTACCTCCATGCATGCATGACATAAGACTCCACCACATGCTTTATGTGTTAGTAATTGATGTTCTGGATACTCCTCAAGACAGATTGCACACGAATGCCACTGGCTCATTACCACTCCACTATCGCTAGTTTCGGTGTTTTTCTCCGGGACAAACACGTCATCATTCCAGGGCACTCCGTCATCATGCACGGGACCCCAGACAGCCTCGGGGCTGTTGAGGTCCACATTACCCTGCAAGCTGCTATTGGAACCACGCGGCTTCGGCGGAAGAACCAGTGGGTTGCTTTGCGTGTCCATTGACGGCAGATCGTTGGGGTCAAAATACGACATGTTGGAGAAGACGTCCTGAGATGCCGTAGCGGATGCAACTGCAGAGTCAGCACTGGACACTAAATCCGTGGCCTTCCCGCTGCCGACGTTATTCATTTCAGTGTACTGAGGGGGTGCTAGGACAATGTCCCAAGGACCCTGTGGGGCCTCAAAGGCACTTTCTGCACTCGTTGGGAGGTAATCACTGTCAATTTTCTCGCACAGATCAACGCTTTCTTGCTTTTGTGTGTCAACATTTTCAAATATGGCAGATGCATTTCCAGTCCTCATGTCTAAATCTTGTGCAAACCGATTAGAAGCTGCTTCATTTGGCAATGAGGTTATGTGCAAGGATTCTTCCAAAACAGTTTTAGAATACACCTCAAATGCATACAGTAAGCGAAAACTATCGTTGACATAGCGCAAATGTATTCCATCTTCCTGTAACAAGGAATGTAAACACAACCTTACCAAGTCTCAAAATTCAAAACAAACACAAAATCTCTTTAAATTTCTCACAATACGTTTTGCTTACTGAGCCTTTTCAATAGTAGTCTTGGAAACAAGTTGAAGAAATGCCCTAATTCATTTAAAACACCCTGCTCTCAATAATACGTAGCCTATCTGACAACAAATGTTGCTGACTTACAAGAAATCTTGATATGTGATGATCCAGTCCTTCTGCTAAGACCAGTTCCTTATCCTCTGGAAGTCCTTCCCCATACACCACCCTCACCATGGCTTTCCTGAGCTCTTTGACCGTGTCTAGTCTGTTAAGTGACACCAGGTATCGCCCCGGGGTCTGGCCATGCTTGGGAATGAACGTTATAACTGAAACCAAAGTAACAAATTGTAAGAGTACCGAGGATCCCTTATTCAGGGATGCGGATAATGACTGAATAACAAGTTTGGAGGTTGACTAAGCAGTGACACATTTATCTTATCTTCGACACTCTCTCTAATGCTTGTCTGTGTTAGCCCCAACACTCCTCAGTCCTCCAACAGGTGAAGGATTGAGGAGGGTTAAGGTTATTAAAACAACCAAAAATGTGATGTTTAATGGTACCCCCTTTGGGGTATTTTGGCTAAAAACCCTGCCAGATGCATCAGTTTGTATCATGAAAATGGCTTGCCTGCCCAATGTAACAAGATCCAATCGGTTCATTCTCCCCAAGGCCTAACAGCCTGGGAGTCTGTGGATGCCAGTCACCACAAGATCTGACAGTGACTTTGTTCACTGGGACTAGCTCCCCTTGTTTCAACATGGCCAGTTTGTTCTGCTGCTGTTGACTGCCCAGTACATCAAAGTGCACCAGACTTTGACACACCCGCTGCGCTTTCGCTGCATCTGGCCAGGTTATGGTCACACAATCCACCTGCTCTACTTACTTAGTTGTTTTTCCATTGCACGTGGTAGAGGCACAGAGAGATACATAAAGGGTTCATAGATGATGGACACATGACCACAGACAGCACACACAACCTACAAAAGAACAAATTGAAATAGAAGGAAAGTACTCGGCTGTGGCAATGGAGTGGTCAAACTGACCGTTCTTTTTTTAGTTCAGTTGGACACTTGTCGTTGTGCAGCACCTTTGGTCAAGTCTTTATTAAGCTTGTAAACTGCTTTTCTAACACATAAAAAGTAAATATTTTTCAACCAGTGTGACAAGTTTTAGTCATTTTTCTAAACCTAGATCCTCCAAAGATTTCAACATATTCCCTGCTAAATGTACAAGATGCTAACGGCGAGAAAGAAATGACATTTGTGATTAAAAAATCTGACAGATTGTGGGCAAATTTTTGGGGGTGGGGGGGTTGGGGCTTTGCATGGTTACGGCAAACATATTTCAAAATGTTAGAAAAATGTTTTGTCTGGATTTAAATTTATCTTCCTTTACCGTGCTCTTGAATTGTCCTTGGAAGTTCATGATGGGCGACTGGTTGGCTCTGGTGTAGTCTTCCCATTCGGCTTCACCTTCCTCTCGGCCAAGATCCCCATCCTCCATTGCCGCTTCTTTCTTAATTCGAGATGCAGTCGGATGCACTGACAGGAACTGCTGATTGTTTGGGATGTAGCAGCAATCGTGCTCTTCACTTGTCGTTGTGTGTGGTGCTGTGCAATGTTTCTCATCCCGGTGTCGTGCCAAACTCTTGGCTAGGCTCTCCTCAATTTTGGCAGGGTACAGAAGGTTGGGACACTTGTCTTTGGGGTTGTTGAGTCCCACCTGGGGTTTGAGTTGGTTGTAGCATTCTTCTTCTGCAACTGGCTTCAGGCTGGCGTCATTCCCTTCCAATTCCATCAACTTGTTGGTTAATTTGCTGTCTGCTATTGGGAAGAAACCGTCCTTGTTGAGCAGCTCGGGAACAGCATAGTTGTGGAAAGAGGAGGTCAGTCCATCCTTGGTCAGACTATGAAGAAGTTCTGTCTTGCTACAGGAGTCCATCTTCATCCTCTTGATGGGGTCTTCTCCCTCATGGATGTCGGTCTCTGCAACAAACTTGACGCTGTTGCTAAGACCCTCCCCAGAGCCGTTCTTCAAGTTCCCCTTGAGGTTCTTCTTGGCAGCCAGGAGGTTGGTCTTTTTGTTCTTAGGGGGAGAATTCAGCTTCTCACAGTCATTCTCCACCCGGTTCCTTAGCGGGGACCGCTGCTGCTTGGCTGGGGTCTTCAGAGGTTTCTTGGAGTTCTCTGCCTTGGGGTACTTCTCACTCCCAGTAGCCACGTTGGAGGGTGCTTCCTCAACCTGCATCACGTTGGTGTTCAGTGTCTTCATGTCCTTCTTGAAGAACTCCTCGATGCTGGGAACTTTCACGTCTTCCCCTGCTGCGCTTTCCTCAGATCCCGACCCCACCTCCTTGTCACTGCTGCGCCGATTATTCTGGTTTCCTGAGACTTGCTCCTCCTTGCCTGAGTCAATCTCTAAGGCTTCCAGCTCGCTAAGCTTCGAGGTCGATGCCTCAGACATATACTGAGAGTCACTTGAGTTTTCCGAGATGTCGTCAAATGGGGAGTGGGATTTCTTTTTGGTCTTTGCTTGGTTAAGCTCTTCATGCAAAGTGTCTAAAAGTAATGCTAGGAATTCTTGTCCATCATGCTGCAACCGAAGTGAGCAGAAAAATTACATTTTAATAAACAATTTGTCATCTCATCATCTGTCAGTCCTGCAGTCAACAAAATTACTGTTTTAGATTTGGCATAGGGTCTGCAATTTATGTAAATGGAAAAATGAGATGGCTTTGTGTGTCAGTAATAATGTATTTGACATTACCTCTAAATATGAGCAAAGGATTTGCTGTATTATTAAACCTTACCTGTCTGAAGTCACGGAACTGTCCATGCATGAACCCCAACGTCTCCTTAAACTCTACTGGATGCAGCAAGCTGAACTCTCCACTCCAAGCCTTGTCTGACAGGCTGCGGAATTTGCGTGACAAGGTAGCTGGCAGCAACTCATCTACCAGGGGCAGCTGTTGTACCAAGTGACCATTGTGAATCAGACACTGCAGACCGGAGTTCATGAAGCAAGTATTACCCATGTTTCGCAGACCACACACGCCACGGACGGCCTTGGAATCTGAAAGGAAAAACAACAAAGTGCCCAATGGTTGTTTTCTATTTTAATCACTTGCTAACTTAGGAATTATGCAGTTAAGAAAGCAGCTAAGATACTTTTGAGAGAAAGGTTTGGTGGCAGCAAAACTTCCAGTCCTATGTGATCAGTCCAGCGTTTTGAGGACGCATGTATTAGGCCAAATGCTATGCAAGCAATACAAAGGACCATATGTGGGTCAAGACGAAATATCTCCAAAGTGTCCCACTTGCATTCACACCAAGGTCCAGCACCAAGCAATAAACCAACAACACAATTTGAGAGTCAGTACCTCTCACATCAGTGTGATGCGTGCTGTCTCCATCCCCTGCCATGAAGTTGGTTGGGATCGGACTATTGTTATGGACTGTGAAAGGAAAAAGAAGTGAAGTTCTGAAATGTCAAAAACAAGTTCCACATAAAGAAAATGGGACAATAAATGGGACACAAAACCAACTTTGTATAATTTTTAAATCCCCGTAACATGACATAAAAAACTTCTCTTGGACTGATACCACAGGCCCTGTAATTTAATGGACTAAGTACAATTGGTTCCTCCAGGCAGTAAACAGCTTTTTCCCACCTGCCCCCTTTGTTTTCTTTTGCTAAATAAGTCATGTCTTGTCATTTTAGCTAAGCACCTTAATAAATCAACTAAATACACAACTACACCAGAGGGAAATTCCCATTCTTTGTACAGACACTGTGGGAAGGCTGTGCTTCAAGAGTATCATGGATATTGATGGGACTTGGAAGGATAGTGTTACAAATGCTCACCATTTCCAGCATCTAAACCAGGCAGGTGGGGGCCGTAGGTGGGTTGATCATGGGGTGCCAGCAACATACCAGAAGACATTGCAGCTGGCATGTACTCCATGATTTCCGCATCCATGGCCATACCACTTGCTACCTCGGCATCCCACTGGCTAGCATCAGGACTCGGTGCAGCTTGACAGCTTGGAACAGCCATGTCTGCTTGCTGCTTTGGAGAATGTAATGGAATATTATTCAGACATGTCAGAATCTTGAAAAGGCCAAGTAAAAATATGGTTTCTGGTCTTTTCTCTTAAAGTCAATGGCTTTTATTTAAAGGTTGTTTCATGGTGTCCATTGTGTGTGCCATCGCATATGTCGTCATTTTATTACATATCAGTCATACATCCTTGCCATGATAAACACAATGTACGTTTTGCTGTGTTTGTGTCATGAATTCAATAGGGTACCAAGTTTGCATAATTTGATGAATTGTATCAGGTTTTGAGCTGGAAAAACTACAAAGAACATGAAGAAACTTGAGATAGTTTTCTGTTGAATTGGGAGATTTCACTGACTGGGCCAGTCTGTCCCAAACTCCCAACTAGAATTGGAGCATCATAAAAGCATGGTAAGTGTATATGCCAAGCCCGACAAATCATACACCTGTACATTGGCAACTGCCATAATTACAATGGGCTGGTTTCTTATACCGCAATGACTATGAATGATAACAGGGCAGAAGGTAATTCCTATCTCGATCTAGTCAGCCAGTGGTTAGGCTAACACTCTTCAATTCATTAAGCAGTGGTAAGAGTTGGATATAATATACATGTACGTATGCCTAGGCCTACGGACATCACTGATCTTCCCATGCAGTATTTTATAACCCACCGGAAAGATTAACGCATCCCAAATTTAACTGTGAAAATATTGAAAGAATTCACTCAGAAAAATGATTTGTTTCCTTCATCCTAGTCCTATTGCCTGGTTTATGTTTGTGCACACAGCATGCTCACAGGGTGTCAACCATGTCAACATGGTCAATTGGTGTCAAGATGTGAAACGCTTTCCATAAATTCATTTAATTTAAGATAAATAGTAGTCGGAAGTACTTAATCAAAATCCTTCTTTTTTCTCAACACAAGATGTCAAGAGCACAGTACCGACTATGGAGTTTATATGGGGAAATCCCCGACAACTGCAGCTCGCAAGCGAACCCGTCATTGCGCCAAACCGAAGTTACTTGGTTGCCTCTCGAGCTCTCCAAAATTCTATCATGTTTGTCACGTGCGTCACTTACACAAATAACAATAATTAGTACGTCAGTTATAGAATTGTAACATTAACACATCAATAAGATTTTGAGATTGCCCCTTGATCAAATAGAGAATGAACGGATCTAAGTATCGACACAAACATTTATAATGATAACTTTTGTTCTTTCACACAAAACAGGAAATAAAATTTCTCTCACCTCGTCAGCCATTTTGCCTGTCCAATAAAAGGTAACCTCTTTCAGAAATAAATATCGATAGTAATAAATATTCTAATTAATCCGACTTTAAAGCATCAGTGGGGAAGACTAAATACAAGAATATAAAAATATATAGGTTTGGATTTTTCATTTTTCATTTTTAAAAGACCAAAAATGGAAATACCTTGAATGTAGTTTTCCAAATATAATTAAATGTCTGCATTATACGCGCCAATTTTTCTAAAAGGTCAAGGGTTGAATTGCAAATTTCGCGCACTCACTACTTGATCATGGCGGTCATGATGAGTGAACAAGAGCAATTCGAAAGCCTCTTGGCGTCTTTAATGTCCTCGGACAACCATGCCCGGAATCAGTCAGAGGTAATCAAATCATTGTACGAGCCACCAAACATCATTAATTTGTGTCTTTCATTTTGGGTGGGATTTAGCGCTTGATTCGGGAGAAAACACTCCCGAAATGTTTTTGGTATTTGTCAAATTTCACCCGTGTCGAAACGTGCGTGCTTGTTGCATGTATCGGGCGGTGCGTGCAGTCAAGCGTTGGTGTTTCGCCGGCATGACATTGTGCATGGTGACATCGGTGTGTTGGCTGCGTACCATTTGTCAGATCTGTGTGCACATGCACGATACAACATGTATTGTCAAACGTGTGACCCTGCTTGTTAGCATCCTATCGCGGGCGCGTTTGGCTGTTTGTCGTTTGTACTTTCGGTCGCCAATTGGAATTTTGCCACTTCATTTGCCTTACTTCATGCTTAACATTCATAACAATAAAGAGTAAATATTACCGGACTATTTAATTTTAACAACTTATTTATCTCTCTTAAAGCCATAGGGCCTATCTCCCTATGGTGAGAATTCGAGGGGCAGGAGATGCCCGAAAATTCGTACTTAACCCCTTGACGACAGGAATTTCTTTCCGAAAGCCGACTCCGAGAATTCCAGCC